GTAATTTACAAAAAAATTGATGATATTTTACCTTTCACTAGAATTAGACATATGATATAATTGTCAAATACAACATTTATTTTATAGTTATACTATACTTTATAAATCCTTAATTAATTTGTGATGATATATACGTAGTAGTAAAATTTTAGAAACAAAATTGTAATTAATTTGAATATATGGTTATATTGAAATTGAAATAAATTATTAGCTAGAGGTATTTGAAAAAAAAAATGATGTTTTAAAGTAATTTCTTTAACATTTATAATATGGATCAATGTATTATTACTTTTTGGCAAAATTTAATAATAATCCATTTAAAAGATAATTAAAAAGTAGTGGGAATAGTTATTTAGGTAAATGTATATAGAAAAATTATGAACACCAAGTAAAAAGAATATGTATTTGTCATAAAAATAATATAAAAGATATGGAAAGATATTATTATAGAATCAAATATTAACCAAAAAAAAAAAAAAAAAAGGTTAAAAAGGGAAGGAGAGTTTTGGAGGGAAAAAACAACACCAGGATGTGACACATGTTACTCCCGATGTCTGTTTTAGTATTAAGTTATTATTAATTTATTTTATAGTTATACTATGATTTGGGTTCACGTGAGAAGGGTTCTAAGCGTGAGAAGCATTGTAAGCCATTAGATTAAAAATCAACGGACAAGATTAAATTGAGTATCACGAGCTTTTCTTTCTTCACGAGAGAGTATCAACTTCTCAAGGTAATCAATCATCCTAGTATTCCGTGATTTCTATCTCACTAATTCACGATCTCAATATAATCGCTCGATTCGCTTCTCGCAGATTTTCTCTCTCCTCATGCAATACCTTGTTTGTGATTTCTCTATTGTTCACATTGATTTCATCACTGAGGTGCTTTGTTTGCTTTACATGCACTTCGATTTCCATAGCCATGGTGGTATCAGAGCTCTGATTATACTTTAGTGAATTAAATAATTTTCCAATGGTTTATAGAAGTTGATTGGTAATATTTTGACCATGCACCATATTTTTAAAATGGCTAATTGAATCTTGATTCCAAAATGAATAGTACGTAATAAAGTATGGTCACCTTAATTATGTGTTGTTCACCAAATGAGCTCACAAAGGTTTTTGTATCCTTTTACGTACCTTGAGTAAACGAGTTGGTTGACCACTTTAGAAACTAAAAAATCGCCTTCTACAAGGTTCTCTCCTAAATCAAACAATAATAATTCAATCAATACCCAAGCAATATAATTTACAGCAATACTAACTTACTTTAAAACCTTTAATATTCAATTAAACAACACTTTAAAACCTTCCCTTTTACTAGAATTAAAAGCTTATATATAGTTATTTGAGATTCCTACATAAAAACCTTAAAATACATACTTATTCATGAAATTACAGCTAGTTTAGAGCTTTATAAAAATCTGAAAATTTATTTTACACATGAAATCTTGAAATTATTGAAATCTTTTATCACTACATACATTATATATGAAATTTCTCAATTCAATGTAATTAAAGACTCCAAAAACAATAACAAAAAATCTGAAAATATATTCTTGCAATTAAACTTTAAAGTTCCAAACTTTATAATCATAAAATAACCACAACCTTTGTTTAATGAAATTCGAGACTTGAAACACATGAAATCAATACAATTTAAACCCAAGATTAAAACTTTAATAATTTGAAAATTTATTTTAAACATTAAACCTTCGTTAAAAATCAAAAATTGCCCGAAAATCATATTAGTTTGTCTTTATGTTGATGACATGATATATATGGGCTCTTGTGAATCACTTGTTGCTGAATTTAAGTCCTCTATGATGAAAACTTTTGAAATGTCGGACTTGGGGTTATTATTTTCTGGGGATAAAAGTAAAACAGTGTGCTGATGGGATTTTCAATTCTCAACAAAAGTATGCACACGACCTGCTTAAAAGGTTTAATATGGTAGATTGCATTTTAGCTCCGACCCCTAGGAATCCAAATGAGTCTCTCATAGCAAATGATGGTACTGGCTTGGCAAATGCATCACATTTTAGACGCATAGTTGGCGGATTGAATTACTTGTCTCATACAAGACCGGATATAACATATTCTATAAGTGTTATTTCCAGGTTTATGCACAATCCAACGTACTATGCATCATCTCGGAGCAGCAAAAAGGATTGTCCGCTATGTGGCAGGGACTCTTGATTATGGAATTTGGTACTCAAAAGTATCAAACTGTAGGCTGGTTGGCTTCACAGATAGTGACTGGGCAGGAGAACTTGATAATAGAAAAAACACATCTGGTAATGTTTTCAGTTTGGGGTCTGGTGCTATTACTTGGAGTTCGAAGAAGCAGGAAACAGTGGCCTTGTCTTCATCAGAGGCTGGGTATAGTGCAGCAACTGTAGCAACATGTCAGGCTATAAGTTACTTATAGATTTTCAGCAAGAGCAACTTGGTTCAACAGAGATCTATTGTGATAACAAAGCTGCAATTGCTATGGAAAAAAATCCGGCATTCCATAGTAGAACAAAGCATATCGATATACGTTGTCACTTCATACGAGATCTAGTTGCTGATGCATTGTGGAACTAAGAAACAAGTGGCTGATGCATGAGTACTTCAGGTCTAAGATGGGAGTAACTAATTTTGAGGGCAAGGGGGGGGGGGGGTGTTTGTTAATGCCCCAAAATTAGTGGACTAAGTTGTTAGTTTTTATTAGTTAGTGCCTTAGTAGAAAGTTATTTTTTCCTAAATAAAAGCAGTATCATAGGGCTAAGAAGTTAGAAGCAGTAGTATTGAGTCAATTTTAGTGGAGTAAAACGTGGGCCATGATTATCCACTTTTCCTAGTTTGTATTTGAAGTTTGTTATTGTAAGCCTATTTAATTGAAAATTATGAAGAAAAGTATAACAATCTTGGTATCAGAGAAATAAGGAAAAGAGGACTTTAGGGGAGGTTTGTTGGGGTAGTTCATCCCAAGTCTCACATGGAAGAAATGAGGAAGAGAGGACTTCCTTATAACTGAGTGCATACTCCTAATAATATGAGGCTTTTTGGAAAGGTTCCCAAAAACAAATCCGTGCGAGCTAGTCCCAAAGCGGACAATATCATACTAATGTGGAGTGGAGTGTGCGTGCGACCCGTCAAGGTGGGTGGCCCGCGCCCAACATCATCTACATATCCCTTACCCACAAGATGTGAGAATAATGAATTTGAAGTTTGTTCTGCTTTTTTGGAATCCTGGATTCATCGTGTTTGTGCCTGAAAAGTTGTTAAGATCAAGGTAAGTTGCGACTTTTCTTTCTATATTGGACCTCATGTTCCTTTGCTGTCTTGTGTAACACATTGACTAAAGTGTACCACCATTGCTCGAACACATTGATATTCGCGATTTTCTTGGTGAGTATAGAATTGTTAAGTATCCAATCAGATTACTCAGGGCAGATCTTGACATTTCGAATTTTAGCTATAGTAGGACTGATTATCTTAGACATATACCAGAACTTTTTCAAGGGATTTCTAGTGTTGAGTCTCTTAACCTGTTAAATGGTCTTGCTGTGTTCAATGTGCTTGATAGCTTGGATTTTGATGTTGGGTCAGTCTTTCGTAATCCTGTCCATCTCACCTTGGATTTGTCTACGAATGAAAAGGATTGGGGTGATCGAATTCCAATACCAATATGCTTGCTAAGTCTGCTTAACAAGATAAAACTATTGAATACTCAGGGTAATGCCAATGATGTGAAGTTGCTCAAGTACATAATAAGTAATGCAACTGTTATGGAGCGGCTTTATATTTCCTCCGTTTATGATGGTTATGGCGATGATGATGATGAAAGAGGTCAACTATGGAAGGAATATAAGTAGTCTAGAACATTGTTATTGGTTCCAAAGAATACCAAAATAACCGTAAATGTTGAGGATCCTCTGTATGGTGAGACACCTGGCAGTCCAAAATCTGCAAGGCAGGTATGATTTTGGCATGTAAGAAGTGACTCCTGTTTCAGAACTCACCACGTATGTTTTTGCTTTACGAAAGACAGGTTATACCACATATGCCTCAGGACTGCTTGTTGAGAAGCTTGAAATTAGTACTGCAGAATATGATTACATATACCACTTATGACCTTATCATCTAAGCAAATCTAGTCTTCAGGTTCTCAGATATGGAGCAACCTGAGTTTCTATTGATTCACTATGAATTGTTGGAGTGCGGCACATTTAATGTACTACCCTCCGTTAATTATTATGTGTAACAAAGGAATAATATTTTATGTCTCATAAATAATACCCCTTTGTTGCACATAATAATTAACGGATGTATTAGCTTTAATTTACTTTCTGTAAAGAGACAAATTACATGTTTACTATTTATGGAGCATGCTTTTACACTTCTAGATCTTTAAGTTCTGCATAGAACGTAGGAATCAAATTTCATCTGAAGTTCTGCAGGGAACATAGAAGTCGAATTTTTGAAAATTTTGAGACTTGTCATCCTGAAATTGCTTTACTTCAGCATAAATCTCTATAAAATGTATTTTACAGTCCTAAATGTCAAATGACATCAGTTCTAGGATTTAATTGAAAAACAGATGATTTTCCATCTTCGTTTTGATTGCTTGTTTATAATGTCCTATTCTTAAAATAATTGCTTATTAATTGACAGAAGACAAATTCTCTATGCCACCCTGAGTAATGCAAGTAATAATATCGCGTTTGATTTTTCTGTTCTGGATGTGTAGTATAGCTGTGTATAGTACTGTTAGTATATAAAATTAGTTGGCTAAACATGGATTTTGATTTGATATTGAAATTTTTGAACCATATGCTAATTAAATTGAATAAGAAATATCTGTTTTTCTCCAAACAATTAGGAATCTGTTACAGAATTCTAATTCAGACACAAGCTACTCAGTTCAACAAAAGACTACAAATCAATAATGAAAGGTAAAAGCACAATAATTAGATTAACCCCTGCCTAATAAGAATAGTGTTAGTCTTCTTAGTGTAGATGGATGTTACTGCCTGCATCTTCATAAACCTCATCTGATGCAGGACACCATTGGAACATTTCCTGTCTCGGTCGAATATCCTCCCACAACTTCTCTGCCTCATCAATCTCAGTAATCTCATAAAAGATCTGAGAGTTTGGTATTCCCAGGCAATGCATTCCATGTTCATGACGCTCTTCACGGAAGTGCCTCTCAAAAGCAATCTGCCCCTTGTAGGTGTAATTCCCACATATCTGACACTCGAATTCTTGGTCAAGTCCATTCCAACCCAGCACCAAGTTATCAACAACCTTTTCGACACCCTCTTCTCCATCGATCTTTAAGCCAAGCGAATGATCAGCCTCGCAGTCATAAGTTATTTCATTAGCAGTCATCATTAGCCTGTTCTCAACATCTTGTCGAATTTGCTCAATAGTCTCTTCAAGAATCCCACAGAACTTCTTCACTTTAGCCTCGACGAGTCCTGTGACTTTATAATCATACTGTTGTACATCTTCTCTTCCCGTCTTTAAGTACTTTCGATTCAGCCTGTCTTCAGGGGTGTTCTTGATCAGTAACAGCCTCGCCGCTTTCTGTAAGACAGTACCCTCAGAATTGAGTCCCAAGACATCCAAACCCTCTTTAAGATTCACAGGTCCCAACTCAATCAAACTCTCCGATGTATTACACTCATTAACTTCGTTGATTGTCATCATCCTAGACCGCTTCTTACCCCTACTACCCTTCCATTGTTCCTCGAACACCCTGTCAAAGAACTTCACGGGTTGCGTTCGCTCCAAGAATGACTCATCAACAACAGAAAATGTATCAATTTCGTACTGCTCACCATCTCGAACAAAATCCGAAGCCGCCCTCGGGTTTAGGCGCTTGTACTCGTGCATCTCCTCGTTCGAGATGTCATCGAACTCCTTAAACACCTTACTAATAATCTCACGTACTTTACGGACTTCCATGGCTAAACTTTAAAATTAAACTAACCAACCATTTTAGAAGACTTCCTTAGATTTTTTGTGTAAGCACTTTTATTTGCAATAAACACTAAATATTGAGGGATATTTATTATTGATGAATGAAATTATGTCGGTTGATTTGATGATTATTAGGCGGTGTAATCTTTTTATGCTTGAGGGTCAAGTTCACGGTTTGTAAATTGATTTTTTCTTGCACCCCAATCTTTATTTATTTTTATTTTTTTTAAGGAAAACACCCCAATGTTTTTTTTTGAAAAGAAAACACCCCAATTTTGTTTAATTAGCCTTTGTTTTTTAGGAAAGTTTAACTAAACATTTATTTGGTTCTAAAAAAAAAAAAAAACTTAACGTTTATTTTAGAAAAGTTTTACTAAACCTTTTATTCAGGAAAGTTTAACATTAAACCTTTTTTAAGGAAAGTTTTATTAAACCTAAGAGTAAGGTTTAACTTGTGTCTAGAAAAAAAAAATGTTTAAAAAATAAATTGTAAAATAGAGTTTATAAATTTAATCAAAATTTAAGACGTTTGTATAATTATTATAAGATTATTACTTGTATAATGAGTTGAGTATTAAGTAGTTAGTTTTTACAGAATTAGATTCGTATCGAAAAATACATTATACATAGACCTGCATATGAATATATGATATTGTTTGATTAGATTCATCTAATAAAAGTCGTCCCAAAATCAATACAAAATAAAACACCCAAAAAAATTTGAAAAAATGGTATGAATAATTGAATGTACTTCGGAAAAGGTAACATAGTTATACCAAAAATAAAAACTCTCAAGGTTATGAATTTTATTATTGTTAAAATAAGACCGTAAAATTAAAAAGAAAAAAAATCAGCATAAAGCCTTAGAAACATATAAACATTCAAAAAATCTTAAGGTTTTTCATCTACTGAAAATTGTAGGGGTAGAGGACATCTTATACATCAAAAGCAATATATACTGTAATTCTGAGTTATTAAAAAAGTAACACCTAAACCTCGTTAAATTTTTTTACATAATCCTTTGTTAGCTTCTTCACTTATTGATCTTTCACCCCGGCAACACTACCCAAACTCGGACACCGGTCAACAAATTGTCGCTCAAAAATCAGTAAGTCTTAGTGTTAGAATCCAACCTCTTTGTTATGTATTCTTCTTTATTTTCCTTATATTTTCCTTATGTAATGTCTCTTTAGTCTTTCTTTTTATTTTTCTAGACCCTAGGGAGAATTATTGTGTTACTGTCATTTCAACGTTCACTTGTAATTCTCTACTAATGCAATATAAAGCTCTTTAGGGAGCGAATGGTTATTCAATCAAAGCTCTCTACCCCGTTGTTATTGCTTTAAGACTTGTGTGTTGTTTAAGCCTTTATAGATATTGTGCTTGCCTTGTTTTAAAGCATCCCCCACCAAACCAAGAGACCCTAGAGACGTCCTCATTTTCGTCGGTTCCGCTTGTGCCCGCTTCGAAGTATCGGCCGTCACAAGCCCCGACTCCGCACTCGTTGTTCTCGTGCGCCCTCTTGAGACACCGTAGGTCCGTGTTGCTGTGTGCTCACGAACCTCCTTGCTTTAGGCTTGCGCCCTTGTCGCCAAAAGACGAGAGCGCGCCGCACGATCTGGTGTTGAATCACTCGGACCGTGACACTTAGGCAAGGCAGAAAAAACAGAAAGCGTAATCTACTTAGTAGCACGAGCAATTAGTAGCAATGACAATTACAATGGCAACATCACAAAGCTGAGAGTAAATCCAATAGACATGCCAACATAAGTATTACACATCCCTGCATCACTATTGTAGCAGCAGACTGCCTATACAACAATTGCCTCTAGCAATAGTGACTTGTCCGAGGATGACAATGGAACGAACTTTTGTCTGGCAGCTAATATCATAGACATCGACGACCACAGTGCACAAATATAGTGTACCGAAGGCACTTAAGGCAGGGTATAATAATAAACTTTTAAGGATATATAGTCATCTTAAATATCATCAAATTCATAATTTATATAATTCTGAAAACATAATACTACATACTAAATTTGTAGATACAATTCTGACAGCAATTGCATCTATAACAGTCTGAAAATACTCAGGAAGATGCGGAGATGATTCTGAAAAATTGGATGTTCAGAGTGACTGGGAGCAAATACATTCTTATCGTCGATAACCATACCGCTTGAAGTTAAAATACAAACGTAATATGCCTTGTTCAAAGGTACATTTGAAACCCCTTTTGCAGGAAAGCTCCCACTCATTAAGCACAATTCGGAATGTTAGGTCTTCATAAGGAGGCCCGGCTTGAAATCTAATAATACAAGTCTCAGTGGAGTCCCCATCTTTCTCAACAAGTGGCTTGGGAACCTTAGAACTGTCGATAAGATGTGGGTATAATACGTTAAACTTGTAGCCTTGAACAAACTTGGGAGGAGGGTTATCACGGCTGTAATGTGTCCGGTTATACTTGTTCCATTCATAACTTGTATGAACATAATTGAAATACTTGGGCTTTCTTGGGCGGTACATGTCATGCCAATCATACACCTGTGAATCCAGATTCACTACAGCATCGGAACCTACAACCACGTCACCTTCCTCCATGGCTCCCATACTTCCTTTCTTTGCCATGACCTCAAAGTCACCCTCCTCTGGCTTTGAACGCGGTTCTAAAGCCATTCCTGCTTCTTTCAACCACCTTTTATGTTCAACCAAAACACCCAAGCGCTTCTCCAAAACTACCCTATCCTCATCAGGATCAATTGCTTCCTCATTATCTTCACCATGTAAGAGCCGAGGAGAATATGGACCATCCCGAGCATCTTCAACTTCTTCCTCGATTCCCTCCACAGGTTGAATGTTTTTCTCTTGGAGAGCCTGCTGTACTTCAAGGCGGCGCAAATTTCTACTCGTATGAATTTCATTAAGACAAGCCTTAGCCTTGTAAAAGTGAAGCTGTTTAAGGACAGCTTCCCAATACTCAACCACCATCGCTCTTCCAGTAAGCATCAATGACTCAATTTGTGTTAAAAGTGCTACCAAATCTTTGTAACTCTTGCCTTCCAAGTAGTTTATGACGTCTTTTTCAACATTCGTATGCATACCACTGAGTCCAACTCGATGATCAATTGCCTCTTTTTTCCTAATTTCAGCCAACTCCCACTCGCAAACCACCAACAATGCCTCCCAATATTCCGCATGAGCCGACGATGTAGACGCCCTGTCAAGATCAAGATGCAGTTTAATATCATCAATTAACTCCTGAAATTCTTTAACAGTACTTAAGCCCTTGAAAACCATGTAAGGCGGCTCATCCAACTCCCTGACATCAAATTTATCAAATTTATCAGACTCATCAAGATACACAATAAGAATATCAATTGGCTTCGGTCTCCCTTCGCGCAGCCGGACCCTAGACCTTATTTTATACTGTTCAAAAAGAAACTCTCTTTCTTTCATCTCCAAGTTACAAAATTCAGCCCTATCTCTTTCTCTCTGCAACATCACAATTTCCTCGTCTCTCCGCGCCTTCTCCTGCGCTCTCTCTTCTCTCCTCTTCTGCATCTTCTGAACCTCAGCCATCAGTTCTTTCTGCCTCTTCTTCTCAGCCATCAGCTTTCTACCCCGTTGTTATTGCTTTAAGACTTGTGTGTTGTTTAAGCCTTTATAGATATTGTGCTTGCCTTGTTTTAAAGCATCCCCCACCAAACCAAGAGACCCTAGAGACGTCCTCATTTTCGTCGGTTCCGCTTGTGCCCGCTTCAAAGTATCGGCCGTCACAAGCCCCGACTCCGCACTCGTTGTTCTCGTGCGCCCTCTTGAGACACCGTAGGTCCGTGTTGCTGTGTGCTCACGAACCTCCTTGCTTTAGGCTTGCGCCCTTGTCGCCAAAAGACGAGAGCGCGCCGCACGATCTGGTGTTGAATCACTCGGACCGTGACAGTTTGGTATCAGAGCAAAGTTTGCCGTAGAGATGGCAGAAGAAGGAGAGATGCATGAATACACATTCGAGGAAAGACTTGCTTGGCTTGAAGGCAAGTCCGAACAGTGGGCTATGCTTGAAGAAAGGCTGCCCAAACTCGAGGATATTGTAATAAAACAAGCCGACCAAATAGAGAGGCTTGTCGCTACTGTGGATGGGTTAACGGAGCAACTTAACTTCGCGCAAGGCGTCGCTGATGAAGCACATGATAAATGTGCAACCTTAATGCGTGCCCAGAGAGGGCTCGGGGGAAGTGGAGGTGCCAAGATAAAACCTCCCAAGCCCCGGACCTTCAATGGCACGAGAGATTCAAAAGAAGTCGATAATTTCATTTTCGACATGGAGCAATACTTTCGGGTCTGTCAGTTGGAGAATGAGTTAAAAGTTGATACCGCCACTATGTATTTGGTGGATGATGCAAAGCTTTAGTGGCGCACCAAGTACACCGACATCCAAGCTAAAAGGACGTCAGTGGATACTTGGGAGGATCTGAAGAAAGAGCTGATGGCCCAATTTTATCCCGAGAATACCGAGTTTGTTGCTCGCACCAAGCTCGCTGCTTTGCAGCATAAGGGTTCCATCCGGGAGTATGTCAAAGAGTTTTCAGCGTGCATGTTGGAGATCCACAATATGTCCGAGGAAGATCGCCTATTCAACTTTGTGCGTGGTCTTAAGGAATGGGCCCAAAGAGAAATTTGGCGCCAAAAGATTGATACTTTATCGGGAGCCATCGCTGCAGCCGAAAGGTTGATGGACTACTCCTCAGAGAAAGGACAAGGTTTGAAGAAAGGGAATAGCGGGCCGACACCGAACCCTCCTAGGAACTCCGGACATGGCTCGCAAGTGAGCTCCAACAACTCGAACAATAGATACAATAGGAGTGGGGGAGAAGACTCTCGAAAAAGTGGAGCTTCTTCCTTCTCTAGTAGAGGAAGCACCCCTAGTTCATCTTCGACAGCCAGGCCATTGACGTGTATCCTTTGCAGAGGACCGCACAAGTGGTTTGAATGTCGACACAAGGGAGAAATTGACAATCTCCAAAAGAAACTGTCCTCCATGTCCTTAGAAAACCCCGAGGGTGAAGAAGCCGATGAGGTAGTACCTAGTGAAGGAGAACATTCCAGACTGGGGGCCATTCGCATGATGTGCGCTATGGGAAGAGAAGGCTCTGAGGGCCAACCCAAAAACTCTGGATTGATGTATGTGAATGCGTTGGTAAACGGAAAGGAAACTCGTGCCATGGTGGATACCGGTGCTACCCACAACTTCATTTCAGAAAAGGAGGCAAAAAGACTTGGGTTGAAGCTCCTACCAGAAGGAGGCAGTATGAAAGCGGTGAATTCAGTTGCCAAACCGATCCACGGCGTTGCCAAGAAAGTAACAATGAAGCTGGGAGATTGGAGCGGACAGGTGGACTTTACCGTTGCTCCAATGGACGACTTCAGCTTGGTGCTCGGCATGGACTTCTTACACTTTAGTAAGGCAGTCCCGATGCCGCATCTTAGATCTATTCTGGTGCCCGGGCAGCAACCATGTCTCCTCCGAACCTGCGATTCGGGAAAAGGGCCGAAAGGGCCCCTCCTTTCAGCAATGCAATTGGAGAAGGGGTTGAAGAGGAACGAGCCCACGTTCCTAGCAACACTTTCCACGAAGGAAGATGAAGCAAGTGGAGACTTTCCGCCTGCAGTTGCCGAGCTACTATCAGAGTTCCACGATCTCCTCCCGAAAGACCTACCAAAAGTTCTCCCACCTAGAAGGACAGTGGACCATGAGATTGAGCTGGTTCCAGGGGCGAAACCCCCAGCACGAAGCCCTTATCGCATGGCCCCCCCAGAATTGGCTGAACTCCGGAAACAGTTGGAGGACTTGCTTGAGGCAGGCTTCATCCGCCCATCAAAGGCTCCTTATGGGGCTCCTGTGCCTTTTCAGAAAAAACATGATGGAAGTCTTCGATTGTGTATCGACTACCGAGCATTAAATAAGGTTACGGTGCGCAATCACTACCCTATCCCTTTGGTGGCGGATTTGTTCGATCAGTTAGGGGATGCAGTGTACTTTACAAAGCTAGACTTGAAGTCTGGCTATCACCAAGTTCGTATCGCCGAAGGAGATGAACCAAAAACTGCTTGTGTGACGAGATACGGGGCATACGAATGGCTAGTCATGCCCTTCGGCTTGACGAATGCACCTGCTACGTTCTGTACTCTGATGAACCAAGTATTTCGAGAGTACTTAGACAAGTTTGTGGTCGTGTACCTCGATGACATCGTTGTCTACAGCAAGACTTTGGAGGAGCACCTCGAGCACCTAAGATTGGTCTTCGAGAAGCTGAGAGAACATCACCTTTTTGTGAAACGAGAAAAGTGTGCCTTTGCGCAGGAAGAAGTCAGATTTCTTGGACACTTTGTGGGGAAGGGTCGATTGAGGATGGACCCAAAGAAGATATGTGTTGTTCGCGATTGGCGGGATCCCAAGAACCCCTCTGAGCTGCGATCCTTTCTAGGACTGGTGAACTATTATAGAAGATTCATTAAGGGATACTCAGAGATCGCAAGCCCCCTCACCGACCTATTGAGGAAAGATTGTCGTTGGGAATGGTCAGGGCCCCAGAAGGAAGCTTTCCAGAAGTTGAAAGAAGCAATGGTGAAGGAGTCGGTCCTTGCCCTTCCAGACATCACCAAACCATTCGTGGTCGAGACGGATGCTTCTGATTTTGCTTTAGGAGGAGTGCTCCTCCAAGAAGGACATCCTATTGCATTCGAAAGTAGGAAGCTGAATAATGCGGAGAGAAGGTATGCGGCACAAGAAAAGGAGCTACTAGCCATTGTGCACTGCCTAAGAGGATGGAGGCACTACTTGTTGGGGTCAAAGTTTACCGTCTGCACAGACAACACCGCGGCGAGTCACTTTCTCACCCAACCCAAGCTGACAAGAAAACAAGCTCGGTGGCAGGAGGACTTAGCCGAGTTCGACGTGGAGTTCACCTATAGAACGGGATCCAGCAATAGAGTTGTCGATGCCCTGAGTAGGCGGGCCGATCTTGCTGCGATGTACAAGTTAGCGCCAATGACGGCAAGCAGCATTGCCACATCCGTTAGAGATCAAGTTCGTGCTTATCTCCCAGATGATCCGATGACAAAAACCATAACAAGGATGATTGAAGAAGGGAAGACTAGACGCTTTTGGTTGGAAGATGGCCTCATCTTCACCAAAGGTACAAAGTTGTTCATCCCCAAAGCAGGGGGATTGAGGAAAATGTTGTTGAAGGAATGCCATGATACGCTGTGGGCGGGACATCCAGGTTGGCAGAGAACCCTCAGTCTACTCGCGATGGGGTACTACTGGCCAGGAATGAAGGAAGATGTGATGAGCTACACCAAAACCTGCCTTGTGTGCCAGCAAGACAAGGTTGACAGACAGAAGCCCGGGGGCCTCCTTGAACCTCTTCCTGTACCAACTCGACCGTGGGAGAGTGTGTCGATGGACTTCATTAGTGGCCTCCCGAAGGTTGGCCAGTTCTCTTTCATCATGGTGGTGATAGACAGGTTCTCAAAATACGCAACGTTTGTACCCTTGCAGAAGGCTTGCGGAGCAGAAGAAACGACATCTCTCTTCTTTAAGCATATTGTGAAGTACTGGGGATTGCCAAAGAGCATAGTAAGCGACAGGGATACCAGATTCACGAGCATATTCTGGTCTGAGCTATTCCAAATGATGGGGTCTGACCTCAACATGTCGTCAAGCCACCACCCTCAATCTGATGGGCAGACAGAGAGATTCAATGGGCTTCTCGAGGAATACTTACGTCACTTTGTGAGCGCCAACCAGAAAGATTGGGTGAGACTCTTGGACATCGCACAACTTTGCTTCAACGCTCAAAGGAGTTCTTCTTCCAACAAAAGCCCCTTTGAGTTGGTCATGGGTCAACAACCTCTCCTCCCGCACACAGTGGCTGTCTGGGAGGGCGGTAGGAGTGCTCAGGCTCGAGATTTTACAAGAGAGTGGAAGCAAAACACCGACATTGCAAAAGCCTACCTAGAGCGAGCATCGCGCCGGATGAAGAAATGGGCTGATCAAAACAGAAGGCCAGTTGATTTTGCTATTGGGGACATGGTGATGGTGAAGGTCTTACCAGAACAGCTGAAGTTTCTCAGAGGGAGAGATCGTCGCCTCATTCAGAAATATGAAGGCCCCATCCGCATCACTAAACGGATTGGGAAGAACGCATACAAGGTAGAACCGCCTGCGTGGATGAGGATTCACCCCGTCTTCCACGTTAGTCGTCTAAAACCCTACCATCCAGATCCCGACGACAGCAACCGCAACGTCAGATACCGCGCCAACATCAGAACCAGGACAAGAGCCACCCCTACAACAGAAGACTGAAGCTGCTAAGATCTTAGTGTAGATTTTGTAAGTCGACGAGGACGTCGACGACTTAAGTGGGGGAGGATGTTAGAATCCAACCTCTTTGTTATGTATTCTTCTTTATTTTCCTTATATTTTCCTTATGTAATGTCTCTTTAGTCTTTCTTTTTATTTTTCTAGACCCTAGGGAGAATTATTGTGTTACTGTCATTTCAACGTTCACTTGTAATTCTCTACTAATGCAATATAAAGCTCTTTAGGGAGCGAATGGTTATTCAATCAAAGCTCTCTACCCCGTTGTTATTGCTTTAAGACTTGTGTGTTGTTTAAGCCTTTATAGATATTGTGCTTGCCTTGTTTTAAAGCATCCCCCACCAAACCAAGAGACCCTAGAGACGTCCTCATTTTCGTCGGTTCCGCTTGTGCCCGCTTCGAAGTATCGGCCGTCACAAGCCCCGACTCCGCACTCGTTGTTCTCGTGCGCCCTCTTGAGACACCGTAGGTCCGTGTTGCTGTGTGCTCACGAACCTCCTTGCTTTAGGCTTGCGCCCTTGTCGCCAAAAGACGAGAGCGCGCCGCACGATCTGGTGTTGAATCACTCGGACCGTGACACTTAGGCAAGGCTGAAAAAACAGAAAGCGTAATCTACTTAGTAGCACGAGCAATTAGTAGCAATGACAATTACAATGGCAACATCACAAAGCTGAGAGTAAATCCAATAGACATGCCAACATAAGTATTACACATCCCTGCATCACTATTGTAGCAGCAGACTGCCTATACAACAATTGCCTCTAGCAATAGTGACTTGTCCGAGGATGACAATGGAACGAACTTTTGTCTGGCAGCTAATATCATAGACATCGACGACCACAGTGCACAAATATAGTGTACCGAAGGCACTTAAGGCAGGGTATAATAATAAACTTTTAAGGATATATAGTCATCTTAAATATCATCAAATTCATAATTTATATAATTCTGAAAACATAATACTACATACTAAATTTGTAGATACAATTCTGACAGCAATTGCATCTATAACAGTCTGAAAATACTCAGGAAGATGCGGAGATGATTCTGAAAAATTGGATGTTCAGAGTGACTGGGAGCAAATACATTCTTATCGTCGATAACCATACCGCTTGAAGTTAAAATACAAACGTAATATGCCTTGTTCAAAGGTACATTTGAAACCCCTTTTGCAGGAAAGCTCCCACTCATTAAGCACAATTCGGAATGTTAGGTCTTCATAAGGAGGCCCGGCTTGAAATCTAATAATACAAGTCTCAGTGGAGTCCCCATCTTTCTCAACAAGTGGCTTGGGAACCTTAGAACTGTCGATAAGATGTGGGTAGAATACGTTAAACTTGTAGCCTTGAACAAACTTGGGAGGAGGGTTATCACGGCTGTAATGTGTCCGGTTAAACTTGTTCCATTCATAACTTGTATGAACATAATTGAAATACTTGGGCTTTCTTGGGCGGTACATGTCATGCCAATCATACACCTGTGAATCCAGATTCACTACAGCATCGGAACCTACAACCACGTCACCTTCCTCCATGGCTCCCATACTTCCTTTCTTTGCCATGACCTCAAAGTCACCCTCCTCTGGCTTTGAACGCGGTTCTAAAGCCATTCCTGCTTCTTTCAACCACCTTTTATGTTCAACCAAAACACCCAAGCGCTTCTCCAAAACTACCCTATCCTCATCAGGATCAATTGCTTCCTCATTATCTTCACCATGTAAGAGCCGAGGAGAATATGGACCATCCCGAGCATCTTCAACTTCTTCCTCGATTCCCTCCACAGGTTGAATGTTTTTCTCTTGGAGAGCCTGCTGTACTTCAAGGCGGCGCAAATTTCTACTCGTATGAATTTCATTAAGACAAGCCTTAGCCTTGTAAAAGTGAAGCTGTTTAAGGACAGCTTCCCAATACTCAACCACCATCGCTCTTCCAGTAAGCATCAATGACTCAATTTGTGTTAAAAGTGCTACCAAATCTTTGTAACTCTTGCCTTCCAAGTAGTTTATGACGTCTTTTTCAACATTCGTATGCATACCACTGAGTCCAACTCGATGATCAATTGCCTCTTTTTTCCTAATTTCAGCCAACTCCCACTCGCAAACCACCAACAATGCCTCCCAATATTCCGCATGAGCCGACGATGTAGACGCCCTGTCAAGATCAAGATGCAGTTTAATATCATCAATTAACTCCTGAAATTCTTTAACAGTACTTAAGCCCTTGAAAACCATGTAAGGCGGCTCATCCAACTCCCTGACATCAAATTTATCAGACTCATCAAGATACACAATAAGAATATCAATTGGCTTCGGTCTCCTTTCGCGCAGCCGGACCCTAGACCTTATTTTATACTGTTCAAAAAGAAACTCTCTTTCTTTCATCTCCAAGTTACAAAATTCAGCCCTATCTCTTTCTCTCTGCAACATCACAATTTCCTCGTCTCTCCGCGCCTTCTCCTGCGCTCTCTCTTCTCTCCTCTTCTGCATCTTCTGAACCTCAGCCATCAATTCTTTCTGCCTCTTCTTCTCGGCTTTAACGGTGAGATCATCTATTATCGTCTTAAAACCTCGCACCATCACATCTCTCTCGATCTTCTTCTTCCACACAAACTGCTCATTGATTGTCTGACTCTTGAACTTCTTCGCCACACTCACAGCCTTTCTCTGCACCTTCTTCGTGAGGTACTCCTTAAACTCTTCCTCCGAAATATTCCTCTTTCTTTTCCTGCTGTAACCAGCCTCTTCAAAGGATTCTGACGTATCATAGTCAGAGTTTGCTGAGTCAGAATTGTCCTTGAATTGCCGGCGTCCTCTTCTACGACTGCTCCTGCTGCTCTCGTGCTTCGCCATATTTTCGGTTGGTCAAGGATTTGGGTAAGGGAAGAGAATTGATCGTGGAGGAGGTACTAACTTCTATTTGGTGAAATATATTAAGCAGCGGAGTAACGGATTATTTATATACTTGAAGGGCAAGTAATGGATTATCCCTTTACCAAAAAAAAAAAGAAAAAAAAAGAAAGAATTATCCATATACTTGATGGCCAAGTAAATCTACCAGGTCATTGACAAAATTGTTGTCTTTCCTAGAATAAAATTAAAATCTGTGTAAGAAAGTAATCATGTTATCCTTATAAACTTATTTCATGATTTCCTAAAAAAAAAAAAAAAAAAAAAAAAAAAAAAAAAAAAAAAAAAAAAAAAAAAAAAAAAAAACTTATTTCATGAACTAGTTACTTATAACCACATTATATTTATAGTTACCCCAAACTGGTCAAAAGTTACCATAAGATAATTTGATCTCCTAATATTATTGTATATCTAGTGTGCAAAAAATGTACCAGAAATATCTTGAGTGAAGTTAATTGTGAGCATAAATTTGAAATTCATCTTCTAGTTAAGCTGTAAGCATAATATATGAATAATAATACAGTCAAAACAACTCAATATCTTGCAAATTAGCACAGCGCAGATTCCGCATCTCAAAATTGAAATTGAACTACTCCTAAGAGATGTATAATAGATTTGTTCAGCTAAAAACTAAGTCATTCTAATAATACAGAATACTGACTAACCAGACAAGGCAATCTGTCTGAGGCTCGAAAAATCTGTCTTAAATTCCTGGTGACCTGCTTTCCTTCCTTAGCACCAAGAGTTTAGAAGCCAGTCCAATGTTACAGACTAACCAGACAAAGCAACACGTCTGAAAACTGCTTGAAAAGTCTGTCCCCCATTTCTGGCGACCTTCTGCCCTTCCTCGGTAGCAGATACCAGGAGCTTAACGACAGGATCTGCTTCAAGCTCTTCATCTGTAATACACTCAAACATGGGATGATTCTCAAGACATGTTCTCATCCAGACTCCCAGCTCCTCAACATCTGTGATCGTGTAGATGATCCCTCCTTCCTTGAGTACATAAGCATATTCATCTAGCAAGAATGGGCTGATTACTCTACGACGGTGATTCTTCTCTTTAAAGTGTGGGTCAGGAAACAAGAAAAACATTTTTGATAGTTGACCCTTCTCAAAATAGTTTGGAATGTATTTCATGGAGTTGGTCCTTACCACAGAGACATTCTGGTATTGACCAGGGTTTGTTGTCCTCAAGCCCAAAATCCGTTCCTTAACATACTCTGTCACCTTATCCCTAATCTCCATTCCAATCATTAGCTTTTCAGGGAACAGAGTTGAAAGGCTAATACAAAGCCCTCCAAAACCACAACCTACATCAGCAAATTCAATCCTCCTTGCATCTCCAGATCGGTCAGGGGAAGGAAAAATTTGAGGAAAATGAAGTGAATAGTCAACATGTTGAGGTGAAAGTGGAACAGGAAAGTGAGAATCACTTAACGGATTACTATGGGCTCGGGCCCGGTAAAATCGCTTCCGAGGCAAACCTGTTGACTTGTTAAAGGTTGAGTTTCCCTTGCTCTCCAACATGCTTCTTGCCTTCTTACCCAGGATGATTGGCTGGTGCAAACTTGAAGCTTCAATAGGTCTGCTCAAAGTAACACCCAAAAAAAAGAGTTAAAGGGAAAGCAGACAGAGAACCCATGATATCATTCACCTGCTTTTCAGAAAGAACATGACAGAAGAAGGCGGCTACACAGGAAATGGTCCGGATGAAAACTCTAAAACAAGATATATGCAGAGATTTCACTCATCAAGAGAAATAACAATGAGAACAAGAGACAACAACTATGAACAAATGAAACCATGGCTTTCAAAATTATGTTTGTAAGCTTGCAAATAGCAATATCAGTAGATGTAGAGGTCTAGAAAACAGTTTGGTGTATAATGACTATTAAACATGAGCCAAGGTCAACACTGTTTCATCAATTTCTTTCCAAAACTAGAAAAATATATCCTTCTTATTAAGCTCCAGGTATTAAAAGCAAAATGACAACAACATGCTTTTAACTTCAGTTCACTTTGCAAGTGAAGCATTATTTGTCATCCAAACATATTACACCTTATGCTTTTTTCAGGGGAAAGTAACTACATGCTCTAGGGAATTTTTTTTTTTTTTTTTTTTTTTTTTTTTTTTTTTTTTTTTTTTTGTGTGGACGGGATACATATTCTGTTGAAATTTGAAAACATAGACCATGTAACCACATCACAAGGGAAACAGAAGCGTAATCATGGCTTCATCAAGAACCAGAGGCATATCCATAAAATTAGACTTAATTACCATAAATCCACCCCCACCCCTCAATTGCTTAGAAAAGGTATACAAAAAACATGTCTACAAATTGATGAAATTGTAGGCCTTTCTGCCTAGACTTGTGTATGTGAGTGATTTCATCATAGCCAGAACAATTTAAAGCTACCCTATACCTCAGAAAAAAGCTTTCCACTCCACTTGATTCACATGATATGTATAAGGATGCTTTGATATTTCCTTAACATTACAGTAAATTCTTGTCCACAAGGTACCTTCCTCTATGGAATATCATATTAAGCTCACACCAGATATTGGGACTCCACCCCCTCCACCCAAACAGCCTGACTGCTATCAAAGCCTAGCTGGAAACTCATTCACATTACACTGACCTAGCCTAACATAGCCTATATTGTGTCCTCACTTCATGGCCTTCGTGCACAAGCCTACAATCATGCACTTACAGGCCCGCAAAGAGTCTTACTAAGGTGCTCTCTACTAGTACTCAGCAACAAGCCAAGACACCCAAGATAGTTTTCAATCTGGGAGCATGTTCAGTCACTCACCTCCATCAAAGTTTGAGGGAAAGTATTGAGGAATAAAGGCCTCTTTGGCCAACTTTACACTATGATTGGATGGGAAGATATGGAGGGAATGGGAAGGAAAGGAGAGGATATCTTTCTCCCATGTTTGGATACAACGTTAGGGATGGAAGAGGAAAAGAATAGGAGAGATATATATTCCCCATTAAACCAATCCCTCCAAGCTCCAAATAAGAAAATTTTGAATGGGAATTGAAATGTTAACCAAACAAAGTGTTAGTGTTATTCCTTTGTGCAATTTTGTTTTATTTCCCACTATAATCTCTGTTATAGTTTTATGATATTTAGTCATTTCTAAGCAAGATTGTTAGAGTTTATGTAAGCCATGATATAATTAGGGCTATAAAAGCTATGCTCTATGAGCTCACAAAAGGGAGTTATCACCTTTGTATAAATCAAGCTTATTGAATGAAATCTAACAGAATTTCCTTAATTAGTTGTCACGTCATTTCTAACTACCCAAGTCATAATATTTTGCTTCAATTACATTCCTTAGAAACAGAAAGAAAAATTTCTATATAATCTATCAAGTGGCTTTTTTTGTGGATGATGATTTTGTAAATGAAGACGGCTGGAAATTATGCAGACCTTATCTTTAAGCTTTAACCTAACCCCATTTAACAGATCCCATAAGTAGAACTTTCAAAACCCCACAAATCGTTCTTTATAATGTATAAAGAGAAAATAAGCAATTATCTGTTCAAATTTATTCACTACAATAAGTTGCACATAACTAAATTAAGCACAAATGCACAATATAACTCTCAAGCAAACCATACCCTGCAGGGTGCGGCCGCCCTGGACCAGGCCCATTTTCATGGCTTTCCATCCCAACATGAAAAGTTACAAACAAAAGCCTATGAAATTAGGCAATATAGTTGAAGGAGTTCAATGGTATTGCAACCCTGTTAATCATCAAGCTTCTTAAAGGGGTTCATTAGGGGTGCTAAACATTGCAAAGCCGGAATAGGAACAGGCTTGGCTCGAGCTCAATAGGAATAAGGCAGGTTCAAACCAGGCCCGTCCCTGAGGCAGGGCAGGAGGGGCGGCCGCCCTAGGCCCAGGGAAAAGAGATTTGATTTCATATTGAATTATCTCGAAAAATACATAATTTTAGGGATACTTGATTCAATAATCAAATTAGGCTCATAATTTTCTTTTCTTTTGGATGACGTTTCATAATCTATGAATTTGCGAACTCTAAACTTAAAGCACTGATAATTAAATTAGATTAGATCAAATATAAACCCTAGATTGTGAAATTGATGTAATGATAACAACAACAAACAACTTACCTTAGAAGCTGCTTCAATGGGGGATACAAGAATTAGATTCAACGGAGAACGCTTCGATGGAGAAAGTTGAGTGCGCTTCAATGGAGAAAGTTGAGTGCGCTTCAATGAAATAACTCAGAGACTTGGGACATAGGAATGGAGGCCTTTAAAAGCCAAAATCAAAATTGAATTAGTGGTCCCTTAATGTAACACATACTAATTTTGAGTTGTTTCCGTCATTTCACCAACATTCATAGACTTTTAATTGTATGTTTGAAAATATCTTGCACAACACGAAACATCATCACTAACTTTCCTCGTTCTATCAATAGTCTCATCGCATGTTTAAATGTATATTGGTAAGTCTTATATGCATTGTCCTTACTCGTTGTAATAGCTAAATAGTAAATGTCGTTAATGACCTTAATTGATATTGCGTAAGAGCTTCTTATGCCAATAGTAATTTATGTTACTTACTGTCATTTTATTTGTTGTAAACTCACTTTAATTAATGTAATTTCAGCTGTTTTTTTAAAAAAACTCTTAAAAACTTTCAAAGAATTGATACAAGCTTTGACATATGGAAATATCAAAAAATATTTTAAACATATTTACATAAAACCTTTATATAGTCCATCTGTCTCGTAATTAGACGATCATATAAAAACCCGTCTCATTTATTTATCAGACGGGTCTAACCCATATTATAACTATGGCGGGTCATGGCTTTTAAATGCCTCCATTCCTATGTCCTAAGTCTCTGAGTTATTTCATTGCAGCGCACTCAAGTTCTCCATTGAAGCGCACTCAACGTTCTCCATCGAAGCGTTCTCCGTTGAATCTAATTCTTGTATCCCCCATTGAAGCAGCTTCTAAGGTAAGTTGTTTGTTGTTGTTATCATCACATCAATTTCACAATCTAGGGTTTATATTTGATCTAATCTAATTTAATTATCAGTGCTTTAAGTTTAGGGTTCGCAAATTCTTAGATTATGAAACATCATATCCAAAAGAAAAGAAAATTATGAGCGTAATTTGATTGTTGAATCAAGTATCCCTAGAATTATGTATTTTTCGAGATGATTCAATATGAAATCAAATCTCTTTTCCCTGGGCCTAGGGCGGCCGCCCCTCCTGCCCTGCCTCAGGGACGGGCCTGCTGATTGCTATAATAACATTGTTGTGAAATGTATGAAACAGGCATTTGTGAATTATAATATGGAATGAGCTATATGATGCCGATTTCATCACATTTATTCAAGATTCTGAGGCATGCGTTATCACCATGTTTGTAGGTGATTGCAAATGTTCTGTATGGATACTTCATATACGTGTCTACAAGGCATTATAGTTGGTACATATGATGAAAGTGTATCATCGGTTGATTTTACTTGCTGCTTCAAACATTACGAAGTCTGCAGCAGTAGTCCACAATGTACATATCTGTAAATCTTCCTACAGAACTTATTGGGAAACCAATGTGTGCGGTAGACAATTTAATGTTGCGTGTCTCAGTCATTTTTGTACTAGAACTGAGCAAGATGAGCTGTGTTGGGAAGGTCCTAACCATGATATTATGCTGAAAAGGCTTGAAAGTGCACTGTTGGATTGCAAAGATTATGAGGCATGGCCAATCTTTAGCAAGTTTACGAGTTTGTATGGTTTTCCTCCACCTGCTATTTTGAGTAAGCTGATCTCTGGACTTTCCTACTCATCTGATCACAGCTCACTTCCTAAAGCGTGCAATTTAATATTTAAAGTTGCAAAAGAAAATTCTGAATTACTTGAGCATGATAGCTTGTCTAGGCTTTGCCTTTCTCTTGTCAGAGCGCAGATGCCTGTACTTGCATCGAAAGTACTCAGACTCATGGTGCAGAGAAATTGTGTTCCCCCAGTGGATGTGCTGTGTTCTGTGTTTATGCATATGGTGAAGACTGAGGCTGGCACATGTCTGGCATCTAATATCCTTCTTGAAATTTGTGACCATTTCCATTATCTTACAGAAAAGAGATCTGAATGTGCCATGTCTATGAAACCTAGTACTACAATCTTCAACCTTATTCTGGAGGCTTGTGTGAGATCTGGATCATCGCTGAAAGGGCAACAGATAATAGAAGCAATGGCACGAATAAGAGCAGTAGCTGATGTACACTCTGTTCTTCTATTCACTTACACTTATGAAATGAATGGTCTGAGGGACGAGTTGAAGAAGCTCAAAGAGTATGTAGATCAAGTTTCATTGCCACTTGCTCGGCATTATGTTCACTTCTATGACAAGCTTTTGAGCTTGCATTATGATTTTGATGATATTGATGCTGCTGCCAGCCTGGTAACTGATATTTATCTTCTCTGGGGGTCACGTCCTCTGCATCCAAACGAGGAACTGATGAAGCCATGTAAAGTGCCTATTGGCTCCCCATATTTGAAAGAAGGTTTGAAAGTTCAAGTTATGTTTGAGCTGCTGCAGAAAGATTTTGTCGTACATGTGAAAGGCCAAGAGGAGTATGTAGCATTAAAGAATGGAAAACTTATTCTTACTAGTAAAGGCTTGGCACGACTAATTGTTAAATACAAGAGAAGAGGGAGAATTACTGAATTTTCTAAACTTTTAGTTGCAATGCAAAAAAATATGGGTACAGCTCAAGAAGAAAATCTTTGCTGTGATGTAATTCATGCATGCATTGATTCTGGTTGCCTTGAGACTGCTCATGATATATTGGATGATATGGATATGGCCAACATGGCTGTTCCCACCTCAACATATATGTTACTGTTGAATGCCTATCGCGAAGAAAATATGTCCAAGGAAGCGGAAGCTCTTGTGAAACAAATTAAAAGGACTGGTTTGCTCATTGATGCATCTGATGAAATAATGGTATCTAAATGTATTTCAGGAGTAGTACATGGAAGTGTGGTTGAACCAAATACCAGTAGGCAATCAGAATTAACTGAATTTCTGATTGTAGAAATGAAATGGGGTTATAATAAAGCTCCATCTAAAGTTTATGAGCTTAATTCTTCTATGTATTTCTTTTGCAAGGCCAAAATGATGGAGGATGCTCAGACGACATACAGAAAAATGCAAGAGTTAAAGATCCAGCCCACAGTGCAAACTTTTGCTCACTTGGTACAAGGCTACTTATCTTTGGAAATGTATCGGGAAATCACCATCTTGTGGGGTGACATCAAAAGGTTTATGGATCATGGATGTTCACTCGCAAACAGGGATTTGTATGAGTTACTGCTGTTAAATTTTCTTCGGGGAGGCTACTTTGAAAGAGTAATGGAAATTCTTCACCATATGAAGGAGCACAGTATGTATGCTGATAGATGGATGTATAATCAGGAGTTCATTAGGCTTCATAAGAATCTTTACAGAAAATTGAAGGCCATGGATGTTAGAACTGAAGCACAGAGATTGAGGCTTGAGCATGTTAAGGCCTTCAGGAAGTGGGTTCGCAATAACTGAACCAGTGTTGGAGCTATCAAATTGGTTGATAGAAAGGGAGGCACCCTAACTCTTGGTGTGTAATTAATCAAGCCAACAGGTAGAAAGAGATTCAAAGTGAATGCCAGAGACTTCACTGAATGGTGAGTAATTTTTTGATCCATTTCTTTTTCTAATTGCAAGTTATAAAAAGCAACAATAGTTTTGTATGTTTTCAGCTTTGGTTGACCAATTCAAACTTTGTTGTGTTTAAAAGGATTCCTTTTTATTTTAAAGTTTGTGTGTCAAGTTAATTGGCCTCATGTAAGAAAATTTCCAGATTCTGGCCAACAGACTGTTTCTAATCCCTTTAAGCTTTAACATTTAATTGTTGGTTCCTGTGTGGTTTTCACAAGTGAAATTTTTATGATTAATTTATCATATTTATTGATTTATATCTATTAGTTTTGTCTCTTTGTGCAGAACTGAAGCTAGCCACTTTGGCCATTGACTAAATGCTGAAAGCAATAATTAGGCAAATGGCAAAAAAAAAAAAATATCAGCAGGATCTGTATAGAGGTGGGTGATAGCCTTTTGAGCTTCTAGCTATCCTGGTACTCTGTCAAACTTTGTAGAGAAGGCGTTAGTTACATGTTGATCGATAATAGTTGTGACTAGGACATGCATATCGAAATTTTGTTAAGTTTAAATCCGACTAATATGGCCAGAGATATGAAAACAGTTGAGTAAAAACATTAAGAAAAGTAGAATTCAGCTATTACTTGTGTACAAGTAAAACATCACCTTCTCTTGTCCTTCTCTCACATGGATTTGTTCTTTAAGATTGCATAATTTACATCACAGGATAAAATTATCAACTGTTAAGTTGAATATTCTTTTCAAGTTTTCAACATTATGCCCATGAGGAAAACATATGAACCTGAACCAATTTTAACTATATTTTGCGGTCAAACCTAAGACTATGAATTATATTATGGTTAAAAAAACACAATTTTTATCTAATTTTATATATTTTGATAATTTTGACTAAAGTGAAAGCTAATTAGGTTTGACTACAAAAAGTCAGGTACTTCCAATCATCTTGAGATGGAGGTATTCTAATTTCCCTTATTTGAAAGTTGGTTATTCTGAAAAAGAATATTGTAGTTTGAAAGAGGTGCTACACTACATTATATTGGTTGTTTGAAAAAATCTATTCTGTCTTTATATGGAAGTAGCCATCGTCTTTTTTTGCCCTTCCAAATTGTTTTCTTGAAAAGGTATCCTTGTAGATAGGATTTGGTAGGCTGGTAGCATTATCTTAATATTGGTTTTACGGGCAACCAATTGTGGAATAGATAGTTGGTCATACATGATTTATTTAGGACGTCTCTTTACTGAAATGGACAAATTAATTTCATATTCAATGTTTGGATAGATGACTTGGGTTGATCTCATTTCAAATGCTGATGTATATTGTTGTTGCTTGTGCGTTTCAGCTCGTTGAATAAGTGGAAATACATGCAGGCACACTCAGAAGCAAGAACAGTACCACAGAACCTGTTTGATTCAGTACAAGCTCGCTCTCGGATACTTGGCTTAAATAATACGAAGTACAACATAATGGATAAACTGAAGACGTTGAGGTTGAGGTTGAGCTTGACATGATTTGGTTGGTGAACTTGAATTAGTCAATATTCAAATCAAACTCTAAGTTGAGATCACAATGGCATCAAAATCTGCTAGTTTGACTTTGGAATTTTACCTGAGGTTTATGAGCCAATGTAGCTTGTATTTTCATCCATTTAATCTACAAGGAAGTCCAACAGCTTACGTAAGCGATTGAGCTATGAGCAAAACTTAGCACATGTAGAATTGTGTATGATTTTGAGTAGTTAGATTATCTCATTAGCAGTTGAGTTGAAAAAAGTAAATTTTTCTTTTTAAAGAAATCATTAGTTGCATATCAAATATTTGTAGCTCTTTTTCTCCTACCATGTACTGTAAGAGTTTGTAACAAGAAAGGAGTCAATTTTGGAAGTAGCATGCCCTTTTATTCTTATTTGATCATTAAACTATTTCTGCAAACCAAAGTGTTGGGTTAAATTTCAGCTTTTGAGTCCTGTAAATTCTCCCTCTTTGCAATAGAAATGATAATAATCCAACTTGTTTATACATTAAGGAGTACTTGCTAGACCCAATATTTTAAAGGGCCGTTTGGTTCGCACAAGGGAATCGGAATGGAATGTAGAAAGGGAATGGAGGAGAATGGAATGAAACCCTTAGAATTTTAGGGTGTTGTTTGGTGAGAATGTAGGAGAATGGAATGAAACCACCATAGAACCACCACAGCACAACCATTGCACCCCTTCCTTCATTAGTTTCCACCTTTTCCAGCCACCACACCGCCCAACCAACACCACATTGGAACCGGTCATCCCTCCTCCGACCTTCGCCACCCCTCCCCCAACTTGGTGAGGTCCGTCGAACAGCAATCCACAACGGAACCCTTCTCGTCCTCGACCTCACCAATCCCAATCAAATCCCGACTAAAACGCAGCTATCGAACTTCCCCAGCAACACCGAGGGTTGGGCCGTAATTCCGACAGTTGTTCGTCGCTCCTCCTCTGACCTGCGAGGTGCAACCGGTTGTTCCGGTGGAGGGGAGGGTTTTTAAGGGTTACACGAGGGTCGGGAGAAGGATTTTCGGGTGGGAGGAGGGGTGGCGAGGGTCGGAGGAAGGCCGACGAGCATCCGACGAGGTACAACAAGTTCCGGCGAGGTGCATCTAGCTGATGGGGCATGGTGGTGGTTGGGGAAAGGGAATGGGAAAGGTAGGGGGTGGGGAATGAGATTAGGAGGATTTTGGGTAAACCCAAAAATAAAAAGGGGAAATGGAAATGACAAAAAAGGGAAAACAAATACTAACAAAGGTAATCATTCTCATTCCCTTTCCCCCATTACAGCGAACCAAACGACCTCTAATAGTTTGAAACCTTAATATCTACTTACGTGGAGCATAGTCATGCAATTGAATACAAACTACGGAATCGGGTTAAAAAAATCTCTAACCCACCTCATAAAATCAAATACACACGACGTAATTAGATTATTACATACAAAATAAATACGGAGTATTATTTATAGCATATTCCAAATATCGAGGAAATTATAAACAACTTATATATGAATCGTCGAGCACCACGTCACTCAATCCAACCACACACAAACAAACAATAAAACAATCAATTTGCCAAATGCCCTGCACACTCCCTCACTCAATAAGGTTTAAACCCCACTTTCTCATCAACAAATTCTAGAACTCAAACAAATTATTACGGATTACCCACTTTGAAATGTTCTTCAAGAACACTTCAATCAATTTCGATTAATTCATTGACCCATTCCACTCAAATCCAGAGAAAACTTACACGATAACCCAGAAAATATAAATATAAATTTACCCAGAAAAAATAATCAATTAAACAATGCTGAAAACCATAACATCTTCATCTCCTTCACTTCCACTTCTCTTCAAATTCAACAAATCTTCATCATCTTCATCTTCTTCTTCTTCCTTTTCTGGGTGTCTTTCTCTTCCTTTCTCGAAACATCCAAATTCGAACCCTCTTTCACCATCACCTCGCTCACTCTCTCTCCTCAATTCCTTAAAAAACCCCATGAATAATCTCCTTGGGAAACTGGGTTTTGCTTCTAGAACCCCTGAAACTATGGATTCTTCGTCTATTGCGCAAGGCCCAGATGATGATTTGCCTGCTCCTGGTCAGCAATTTGCTCAATTTGGAGCAGGGTGTTTTTGGGGGGTAGAATTGGCATTTCAAAGGGTACCTGGTGTGACCCGAACTGAAGTAGGTTACAGTCAAGGGTTTACTGATAATCCGACTTATGAAGATATTTGTACTGGGATGACTAATCATTCTGAAGTTGTTAGGGTTCAGTATGATCCTAAATTGTGTGCTTTTGATAATCTTCTTGATGTTTTTTGGGCTAGACATGATCCTACTACCCTTAATCGTCAAGTAAGTTCCTTTATAATTAATGGCTATTAAATTTTGTTTGAATTTTTTGTGGGGTTCATTTGTTAATTTTTGTATTTAATTGTAAAGTTTTTCTGGGGTTTATGTATTTGATTGATTGAGACAGGGCTGTTTATGGGGTTTTTATATTGTTGTAGATTAGTGATTCTTATGTTTTCAGTTCAAAATTGGGGTTTGAGTTTGATGTAATTAGCTAAAGTTTGTGGCCTTTGTCCGAAATTAACAGTCACATACTATCTTTGGTTGTTCGGAAAATCTGTAGCCTTTATGTGATAGGGATGTTGCTATTGTTAAAGAAGTGACATGCTTGAGATTTAAACTTTGAGGCCTTTGTGTAATGAAGCTCACAGTGTATTTCTGAAGGTTTGATTTTGTGGAAGTCATTAGTTTTCAAGCTATTATATCTGAAAAAGGTTGCTGAGAGTATGGAGTATATGAAAGTGTAAAAGTGTGCTAAAAGAAGCATATGGCACAGATAATTAGAGAGTGATACTTAAGTGCCATTCACTACTTTTGTTCTTTATAATTGTAACGTTTGCATGAGGATGCTTTTGCTTTGAGAAAAGATGCGTGCAAAATTTTGGATAAGAGGAACAGTTTACTTGAAAGGGGGAAATTTTGGGAGTTTGTGGGAAATGTTGTCTTTGGGTGTCAGACGTTTTCTCTTATATGTATATTGTATCTTCTGGAGCTACTTTAATGTGTAGGCCCTTCATACTACTGACTACTGAATTTTGTTTGAATTAAAGTATCTTTTGGGAGTATAGCATTATCTTGTTGAATTGTTTGATAATGTAAGTGTATGTGTTTCCAAGACTTGTCTTTTGCTATGTGACTTTATCTGGGTGTAGTTGAAGCTGCTAAGAATGTTTCATATGTGGACTGAGAAATTTTGGGCAAAGTTGTGTGTTAAGAAAGGTTAATGTCATATGTGATGGTAGATGTAGGTCTATCAAAGATGGGTTTGGAGTATTTCAGAATTTTGATAAGAATATGGCTATTATCAATGAAAGACATTTGAATTTCCTGTTGACACTTACCAGCTAGCTCATCTGGTTGTTGGAAAGTGCATAGGTGTTTTAAGTCTTGTCATCTATGTATTCCTATTGGTTTGGAGCATATATTGGTGGAGGTGAGCCGGTTCTTCAGCTCTGTTTGTTGAGATTTGGTCTTAGCTTGGATAATTGACGGGGTTGACACCCTGGGATATTGGTGCAGTGGTGCCTGCATTTTTTTCATTGGATCCATTCCATTTCCATTTCCATTTTCAGAAGTTTGTCACTTTTGCATTCTTGAGATACTGTGTGCTTGGCATGCAGATCACTTGTATAATATGTCACCTCCATGAACCAGATTCTTCGGATTTAATTCTGGCCTTTTAACTTTTTTCACGCCTTTTCTGATGTCCTTTCTCTGATTTCTTTCTCTGTCTGCCTTTAAAAGAGTTGAGCATCAGTTTGAAAATTTTAATTGTTAAACTTGTGAAGTATTGATGCCTTTATTCTTCATTTATATAATTATTCTTTGTATTTCCTCTGGGGTTGAGGAGGTGAATATGGGGTATTGATCTCCAATCTTTTTCTATTTGCTACAAAGAGATTGCATGAATTCGAGGTCTTTTTTTTTTTTTTTTTTTTTTTTATATACTAGTACAATTGGTGGAGGGAGGAATCACAGATGAGTTGGTTCTAACTGCTTGACCTTTTTGTTGGTTTCAGGGGAATGATGTAGGGTCGCAGTACAGATCAGGAATATACTTCTATACACCTGAGCAAGAGCAAGCTGCAATTGAATCAAGGGACCGTCAGCAAAAGATTCTGAACAGGAAGATCGTGACTGAGATTTTGCCAGCAAAAAAGTTCTACAGAGCTGAGGAGTACCACCAGCAATACCTTGCCAAGGGAGGACGATTTGGATTTAAGCAATCCACTGAGAAAGGATGCAATGACCCTATTAGATGTTATGGCTGAGTTCTGTCAAACCTTGGGTACTCAAACTCTACTTGGTTTGGTTCCTTTTTCTTGGTTAGAATATGCCTAAAATCATGTGTATAGTGAATCTAGTACTCTTATTTTGCTGGTGTGAGATTCCTGTTAGCTCACAGGTCACAGTCTTCTTGTAACTATTCGCATGACTTTTGAGGGACTGATTATCCTGTGCATATCATTTTATCTATTTCAGGAACTTAATATCTGTACTGCCTTGTATTAGATGCTTATTCTCTCTCATAATCTAATATAACCTCAGGGAAAGAAGTATTAGCTGTGGTGTTTAGGGATGTAATGATGTATCATTCCCTCATGTTTAAAATAGGGTAAGCTTTAGTGCCAAAATCAGAACCTATCAATGGATATCTCACTGCTGTTTCATTTAAGACCTATGATAGTTGCTCACTTGTTCTTAAAACTTTTTCTGCTGTCACAACGTCGCATACTTGAAAGGTGTTGGTAGTGCACTAGTGGTGATATGAAAAGGGTTGTTTGTCTGGGTAACTTTAAATCACGTTATGTTATCAATGTTAGTCAATTAAAATTTTGGATTGATTCAATCTTCAGTCAAAAGATGAATCATAAAATTTCAATACATTTTGGTGTGAATCGGGTATTTTGGATTTGGACAATCATGTACTAGTCGTTTTTGCCCTGTCTACCGGTAGATGGAAATCATGGAATACTAACGAGATGAACAATAATGGTGTTTTTTCCTCACTCAAAGTAAATTTAATTGTATACTATGATGATTCATTGTCTATCCGTAGATCTTCCTAACGAATTTCCTTGCCTTACAGAATCCAAGAAAAAATAAGAAAATAAAATAAATAAAATAAAAATCAATTACTAAAACATTCACATGCAGACATTAGGTCACAGA